AAAAAAAAATTTTTTAAAAAAAAAAAAAAAAAAAAAAAAAAAAGCAGCAGCTTTGCTGAGCTCCTAAGCAGGGCACTGAGTAGTACCCAGTTTATATCCAAGCAGGCTCAGTCCTCTGAAATTTACAAGCCTGAAACTCTTCTCCCAGTCTTTAGGAATATATCCCTCCTCTAAAATGGGATTATTCCCGTCTTCTGCCTTTGAAGTACTCCTTCATTTTCTTCCACTTTTAATGTCCATAATGAATTATTTGAAAACAAAGATCTACATAGTTGTCCTCAGAGCTGAGATTGTCAATGATACAAAGGCTTAGTTATCCTTCTGAGACCAGAGTGGTGATCAGCAACTCTCAAGGTTAAGGCTGAGAAAAACAAGGCAGCTAATTTTATAGTATGTTACTGTGTTGTCAAATTATCAATAAATCAACCCGTTACACATATTCTCTTTATTGCATCTCCTTGATGGTGGACATTTGAACCTAGCAAATTTGGTGGTATCATACTTTTAAGCCCCAGGAAGACCCCCTTTTTCTAGCAGCCACTTGATAGAGACTTGTTCTTAATGTCTCTGCCATAATTGGACAGAGTTAGAATTAGTGGACTGTAGAGAGGATCACACCCAAGGGGACACTGGAAATTAAGTATCTTCCCAACCTAACAGATGAGATGGCAATACAGAGTGGTCAGTATTGGTGAAAGATCATATAGTCAATGTTGAGGCAAAGACATATGAATTCTCCTGCCTCAAAAGTACAGAAATGTAAGAAGAGACAAGGAGTTAAGAGGCTGGCTGGTTAGCTCAGTTTGTCAGAGTGTGGTACTGGTAATACCAAGGTCCAGGGTTCGATCCCTGTACCAGCCAGCTGCCAAAAAATAAAAAAAATAAAAGAGTTACATAGAATTTGCTTTGTTACTTGTTCTTTGGGTAAACTTGGACATATTACTTACGTAATCTTTTTCTCTATCTTTAAACTTTGCATTCTAGTATCTTGTAGAGTTGTTTGGAGGATAAAATAAAATTAAAAATGTGATTACAGTGGTGTGCTGGTAAATATTTAGTAATTGACTTGGAGTTGATGAAGAAGCCCTGATTTGTGGCATTTGATTACTTCCATGGTGAAAATATTCCTTCCATAGCCAATTTCTAACTACCAATGGTTTAACAACAGCCTGGCAAAATTCTTGATAATTTAACAATTGCCTCTCCCAAGTTTGTATGAGCCAGCACGGGCAACCCCAGCACACTACTGAATATGTCACTCTCGGCACGTAGCAGATACTCAATAAGTAGGAGATGAGTATAAGATGAGAATGAGCCTTCTCATCCTCACTAGGCATGAGTTCTTCCTACCATACTATTCTTTGATGAACACTGTTTGAATTCCTCAAGATATAAGAACCATCATTATACTTATTTATGTCAATAAAATAAACCCTCTCATGTGAAGATGATGGCAGAACATTTCACAACTTAAAAAAAAAATTCACAACCTTTGAGGGTATATTTGGAATGCTCTTTCTAACAATACAGGATGTGTGAAGTGCATGGAATTCACCTTGCAGGACCCTTGTGGCTTCCCAAAAAGGTCGACATTGTTCAGAGCAGCTGAAACTGAGGAGCATTTAAAGCCTGTGGAAACTAAAGCAGAAGAGAAATGGTGATTTCAAATATGAATAGTGAATGCAAGGCAGGTGCTCTGAATTATAATTCAGCTTTCTCGCACAGGCAACTCTTCGTAGCTTCTCCAGGATGAGTAAAAGAAAAAAACGATGCATTTATTAACCGTTTTTAAATGATTCCGTGAACAATTCCACTTAGGTCAACTGTCCTATTTGTTTGTTTGCTTACTTGCTTTACATTTAAAGATGCTCTATGGACTTCTGCTTCTAGCCAAAAAGGAGTAACTGGTACAGAATTGCCCTAGAAGATTGGATGTATATATGAGACACATGTGCAACAACTGCTTTTAGTCATTGGGACCACAATAGGTTCAAGCTTTTGACTCCTGAGAGAAAAGAAAAAATTAAAATGAGCCCCACACAACTGTCCTGGCTTTCTGCTGATGGTAGGGGTTGCTAGATAAAATACTGGACATCTAGTTAAATTTCAGGTACACAACAAATTTCAGATTACGATGACTACTTTTTAATAGAAGTTCATATAAAAATACAACATTGTATTTTTATTTGCTAAATCTGGCAGTCCTACCTGGAGGTAAATTTTAAACTGCAACACAGGGAGAGAAAAACTAAATGGAGTATGACAATTTCATGAGGATGAGGAGAGAGAAATTCTAGTTTGGTGAGGCTGAGGCAGCTAGATTTTGCAGGCAGAATAGTGTAGGGGAGCAAACTACACAGGGAAAGAGTCTCAGACATTTTCACAGGACCTCCTTGATTTCGTGGCTTAATACTACTTTCTGTGTAAGCATAGGGTGAAACTCCACAGCAAAGAGCAAAGACTAAAAGTTCACACTAAGCTTAGGGACATCCGAATTCCATCCATCCAGGTCAGAGAGACGTCTTTGAACATTTGGGGCATCAGAGGAGATACGAGAAGGTTCACAGCTTAAGGAGTAGGGCTACACTGGTCCTAGAATAAAAGCAATGTAACAAAATTGCCCAGGAGCTGGCAGGTTTGCTCACTCAGTTAGAGCTTGGTGCTGATAACACCAAGTTCCCGGGTTTGATCCCTGTACCAGCCAGCCGCCAAAAGAAAAAAAAACAAAAACAAAGCTTTGGAAGAAGTGCCAACGAATCAAGGTGATCTGCAAGTAACTTAACTGCCTATAAAACGAATTTTAATGTTTTTTAAATAGGATAACAAAATCTCAACACTCAACAATGTAACATTCATAATGTCCAGCATCCAATCAAAAGTTACTGGACATGCAAAAAAGTAGCAAATTGTGACCCACAAACAGGAGAAAAAGGATAGAAACAGAGCCCAAACTGACAGAAATGCTTGATTAGCTAAAAAGGAATATAAAAGTTATTATAATTTGTAAAGGAAAATAACATGAGGAGAAAATATAAGACATAAATAGGGCAAAAAATTTACCTTCCTAATACCATTTGACTTGAGTCTGATATTATATTAAAGTGGGGGTAATCCAGAGAAGACTGAATTTCTCCTAAAAGTTCATTCTCAGAGTTCACAAGAAATAGTCAACTTTGTACTGTAAATCATTCAAGAAAATGTGGATCTGAAAAACAAGCTTTTGCCCTAAGCCACTTCATTTTAGAGATGGAGATAAGTGGCTGCAGAAGCTAGCTTACTACGTGATTGCAGAGGAGGTGTGGGAACGGGGCTTAGATAGGTTGTGGATAGGCTCTTAAACATCTTCCCCTTTGTGTTACATGCAAGTGTATTGATTTATTTTGTATTTGGATTAGTCAGCGATTTTACTTGCATGCTCAGAAGGGATTGGTGCTTGGGGCTGGTGGTTTAGCTCACTAGGTTAGTGCATTGTGCTAACAACAACAAGGTCAAGCGTTCAAAGCCTCGAACCAGCCAGCTGCCAATAAATAAATAAATAAATAAATAAAATAAAAAGGTAAAAAAAAAAAAAAAAGAATTGGTGCCTTCTAATAAGAATGCAAAAGGAAACATATTTTCGCTCCTAAGGAAACAATTTGTATCCAGGAAGATTTGGCCTAGGTTCTATATTATCTCTATAGCTGTTTTCTCTTCTCTCCACACATGAAAAAATATGTTTCCTTTTTAGTCTCTCAATTTTACCCCTCATCTGTCCCTTTCTTCCTCCTCTACCCTCTCCCTGTTACCAACAGACCAAGCTCGGCTTGGCCTTTCCCACTAAACAAATGACTTCAGAGTCCAAAAGTTGGTGCAACGATTGGAGGGTTTATTCATATTACCGGTACTCAACTAAATGTCTAAGCAAGCAAACAAACACAAAGAAAAGAGGAGCAGTGGGGTCTGGTTTGTCCTAGTCCCAATCGGCAGGGCCAACCTATTCCACTGACAGTAATTGATAAGAGCAGTTGTCCCCACTGCTGTCGGCACAAAGAAGAAAAGCACAGACTAGATTTAAATCAGAGAAATAAAGCATAGCCAGGAGCCCTCCAGGGTGCACCTATACAGAACCTATATTTTCTGAGAAGAGGACTCAGAAAATCAGAAGCAAAGCACAGCTGGAAGCCCTCCAGGGTGCACCTACATAGTAGTGGATACAATCCAACCAAACAGTGGAAGAGGGCTCAGAAAATCAGAGAAAAGTAGAGAGAATTTTAGCGGCTTCTGGACTTCCAGTCACTGCGTGGGGTGGGAATGAATCCCAGCACTCTCATGCATCCCCCATCAGGGGGAACCTGCTCAAGCAAGGTCTTCACGGTGCAGGACTGGCCTTCCCACCTCTGCTAGTCCCCCATCAAGGCAAGCCGCTGCCTGCCAGAGGGAGCAGCTTCTCACAGGTTGAGAGGAGTTTAAGCTGTAGTTATCTGGCAGTCACTTTCAAGAGAAAGAAAAAGGGGGGAAAGGAAAGTAAAAGAGAATAAAGCATCGCCTTGTCAGAATTTAGGCTGGGGGCTGGCCGGTTGGCTCAGTTGGTTAGACCATGGGGTTATAACACCAAGGTCAAAGGGTTTGGATCCCTGTACCAGCCAGCCACCAAAAAAAAAGAAAAGAAAAGAAAAGAAAGAAAATTTAGGCTGGGGACTCCAAGAGAGACTTACCAGCAGCAGAGACATGGGAGCAAAATGGTCCCAGGGGCCACTTGCCTCTTACAGCTGGAGTCTCCTCTGGTGCCCGAGGCTTTCCAATTTTCGCCAGTGACTAAATTAGACTCTTGGGTTCCAAAGTCATAGAAATGAATGATGCACCCAGCAGTAAAGCAAGCAATGCTTCATTAAAGGAGGAGGTAGACTTATGCATAAGGCGGGTAGTTACAGTAAAGCCGGCCCCCTGAGGGGAGATGTTCAGGGCCTTTTATAGGGAAAGGAGTTAAGGGGTACAAGCCAGCATCACTGGAGGTGGCTCATTCTGTTCTTCCTGGTTGCGTCATGGGTGCATGCTCAGTGGGTCCAGGATGGCAGTGGTGTTCATCATTGTCACCCCAGGAGGGTCATCATAGCAGTCACCTTGAAGCTTTGTGCACAGGCAGGAATTTCTAAAGGGGTCTTAAGGTTAATCTGTAACTTTTACAATTATGGTAAACAAGTCTTGGGGAGTGGTTTGCAACTCAGTAAATATCTGTTTCCTCTCTTATCCAGAACAGCCCATGGGGTATTTATGTGCCCTGCAGGTCTCATGACTGAGGAGTGGAAAAGTAACAAACTGTCCTCTGCAGGGAAAATGGAGTCAGTTTGGTTACTCTGTTTCATCCCCTCTTTTGAATGCCATTCAAAATTTTCTCTAAGTCAACAACAGATCATTTCACCAAGCTGTTACATTGTTTTAAATTGGAAAATAAAAATAAACAGTAACCTAGAGGCTGGGAAGGGGAGAGATAGTAGAGATAGGGAGAGGTTGGTTGTAGACACAAAATTACAGCTAGACAGGACAAATAAGTTCCAGTGGTGTACAGGAGTGCTAGGCATCTATAATTAACAATAACTTACTTTATGTTCTCAAATGGCTAGAAGAGAGGAGCTCAAATGTTCTCATCACAAAGAAACCATACATTTTTGTGATGATGAATATGCTAATTACCCTGATTTGATCATCATACATTGTATGCATGGATTGAAATATAATTCTGTACCCCATAAACATGTACAATTGATACATGTCAATTAAAATAAATAAATAAATAATCTCTTATGCAAAAATAAATAAACAGTGTCAAGCTCTTTTACCTGCCTGTAATCCTGCTGACTGGGCCAATTGTCGAGCTCGTTCTG